AGGGCTACATAGAGACAAACAAGACAAACAACCATTCACTCTCTCACTCACACCTAGGGACAATTTAGAGTTACCAATCAGCCTAACATGCATGTTTTTGGTCTGTGGGAGGAAACCGGAGCACCCGGAGAAAACCCACACATGCACGGAGAGAACATGCAAACTCCACCCAGAAAGGCCCCTGAACCGGGGTTTGAACCAAGGACCTGCTCGCTGAGAGGCAGCAGCTCTACCAGTTGCGCCACCATGCTGCCTGCAGCTAACATATGTTCTATTATTATCATTATTAATTTTATTAATGTTTACCTCACACTTTCTCTTGAATAACGAGGTCTTCAGACATCTTTTTAAAATGATGTTATTTCAAAACAAGAGCAAGCACATTCAAATATTCATATGGTTGAGAGTGAGTTGGTCACAGTTTTCTGTTATTTGCTAAATTAGTTTTAAAATGTTGTCTTCTGACCTTCTTTCTAAATCTTAGTTCCCTTTATATCAACTTTTCATGACCACTTGGACTTCACAGATTCCATCACCACCACTGAGTGGAAACAGGTCAAGGTCAAGATGTCTTTATTGTCATTCACATCAGTACATGAGGTGGAACGAAATGATGTACACAGGGTCCCAGTTACATCCAACAAAAATACAAATTGTAAAGAAAAACAGTAATAAGATCTAAGACATGAACTAAGAAATACACTAAATTAAGAATATACTAAGCGCTAACGGTACAAAACAATATGCCAAACAACAGCAGCACGAACATGAGTTTGTGTGAGCAGTAAAGCTGATTTGTAAATCAGCAGCACAAGATCAGCAGCATGTATAGTCAGCAGCACATATCAACAATCAAGTGGCATTACAATGATTTTTTTTTTCAATGGTAATCCTGACTAGAGATTCATGAGTCTAGCAGCCTCAGGGTAGAAGCTGTTCCTCAGTCTAGTGGTTTTGCACATAATGCTCCTCAACCTCCTTCCTGAGGGGAGCGAGGCAAAAAGTGTGTGTGCTGGGTGAGTGTGGTCCTTCATGATGCAGGTGGCCCTCTTCCTGCATCTGGAGGTGGAGATGTCTGTGATGGTGGGGAGGATGACTCCAACTCCAACAGCTGCCCAGATGTAGAACATGTGTACATTACAAATGTTCGGCACTGAAGTTTATTCAACCTTGTGTGTGTTTGTTTAGCATCTGAATACAACAGAGTTATTTTTTTATTATTTATTTTTTTATATTCATGGAAGCAATACCAAGTTAACGTTTGCTTTTCTCAGTCGGACACTTTTGTTCTCCTCCTTCTCCAACTTTTTCCAATCCAGCCTCTTTTATCCATTCCTACTTTAACATTTTCGTCTCCCATCTTTCCCCCTCTACCAGAGGGGGATTCCTTAGTGATTATTAGTCTGCTTTTCCTAGTCAAGACCCTAGCAGGCACTCTTCACCTTCCCTTTTTTTTCTCTAATAGACCTAGATTTCACTACTTGCTCTTCTATGCCTCCCTCATCTCCTCTCCCTCCTCCTTTTTCCCCGCTTCTCTTTTGTTTTCATCTTTTATTTAACTCTTGCTTTTTTCCTCGCTGTGTGTTTTTTTTTTCTTTTTGTTTAACTCACTTGACCAACACTGTTCACTTAAGCTTCCTTCCACCTCCAAACTCCACCTTCTCCTGCTGCTGTTCCTCTCCTCTGGGGCTCCATCCATCAGGTTGTCGGGGGCTGCTAGCGGCCGACTCCCAGCCACCATATTTCACCGCCAGCCAGCCAAGCAGCTGACAGCACAGCCACGGCCAGGAAATTGCTTTGGCTGTGAGCAGAATTTCAAACGCAGCCACACTGCGTCGCCTGGGCCGCCCAAGCATCCCTTCCCTCTCTCTGTCTCTTCCCTGCCAGTCTCTCTTCACACATCTCTGTTTTTCTCCGTCTTTCTCTTATTTCTCTCTCTCTTTGTTTGCCTTTATGTACTCATTCCCTCCTTTTTCTCTCTTTTTGTTATGCCTCAGTTTTTTTTTTTTTGGGGGGGGGGGGGGGGTTCTTTTTTTTTTTTCTCTTCCTTTTTTTTCCCCCCTTTTTTTTTTTTTTTTTTTTTTTTCTTTTTTTTTTTTTTTTGGGGGGGGGGGGGGGTTGCTCTTCTTTTCCTCCTCTCCCTTTTCATACACACTGTTTGCATCGTCCTCTTTGGTTCGTCTTTCTTCTTCCCTCTCCTTTACTACCTCCTTCTGTCTCTCTACCATCCTCTCATTCATCCCTTCCTTCTTCTCCTCCTCTTTATGACCCCTAGGGAACAAGGTGTGGTGCTGAATCTTTAATGAGCAGAGAGGGAAGGAGATAAAGAGCAAGAAGAGCAGAGGGATAAAACCAGGAGAGGGTTAGAAGATAGAGGAATGCTGGTGATTGTTAGTCCATAGGTAAATGTCAACAATTGGGAGGGGCTGCTATGCCAGCCCTGGCAGGTATAGTTTTAAGATTGCTGAAGTGAAGGTCATGTTTTCACACCTTTGCTTCCTTTTGTGTTTTTGTTTGTGACTGGGTTGTAAAAATTTGAACCAAGTTAAAATGAACTTAATTTATTTGAATCCTGTGCTCCATTTACCTTAAGTTTTGAGTATTGGACTGAAGTTTATTGCTGTTCATTGCTGCTGCACTATGTGGCTGTATCAAGTATGATACAGTATCTATACATCTACCTCACCATCATATTTCAATTTCAATATCACTACCTGTGCAAGAACCTGTCACACATCCTGTGTAGCATATGTTAGTTATGTGCTATATATATGTATATATATATATATATATCATGTGCATTTTAGCTTATATTACTGCCCTGAAATACTTGTTCATACAAATTCATTTTACTTGCACTGTTAAAATTCTACTATGTTGTTGTTGTTTACTAATTTATCTTTAGGACCTTGTAAATATTATAATTACTTTTTCACTTTTGTACTTTATTTTTGTACCCTTATTGCATGCTTTAGTATGTCTTATTTGTTTGTTTTTAGTGAGTCAAATTGGGTCTTCTCATCCTGAGTATTTAATTTTACTCTTACCCTTGTGTTAACCTTGCATATGTTAAATTAAACACAACTTGAACTTGAACTTGAAGTCACACCCAGTTTAACTGTGTCCCAATTGTAAATTGCAAAACCAGTGTGAAGCACATGAAATGTGGATTTTAGGGCTGGTGAAAAAATTTTTGGGGGGCTATGTAATTAGTTTTACCTACTTTCTAACTTTGAAGTCAGAAAATATGAGTTTGGACTTCAATTGAAGTGTATGAAATACTAAATGGGGACCAGTACAGTTTTAGCAACGGATCAAACCAGATGTCTAAGTCTCTATAACGCTGTTTTAAAGTTGTTATTTTAGTGACACAAATGCAACAATGTAGCAGTAAATAATAACAAGAATAATATCTGTCTAATGTGGCAAAATGAAAGCTGCTGGGGTAAAAACAAACACACTTTTATTGGGAAAAAGGTAAACTGGATAAACCCAAATGATACTTTCATTTTGTTTTTTGTATTTACAAATCTCAGGAAATGAAACATCCGCGCCTCCAAAGTATGAAGGTGAGAAGGCCTCTAGACAGAAAGAGCAAGTAATATTCTTATACTAAAGCTGTTGTGATATTTAGAATCACAGCTGTGATAACACAGAGATGAGCTACAGTCACAGGGCACATTTTAGTCAGAAAATGTGCATATAGTCATATCAGTAAAGGGGAAAATGCTTCTGAATGTGATGACAACACATCATTATGTTAAGAAAAACATTTTAAAACTAGTTTATCTGTCTGCTTAAATAACATGTTTTATACTTCAATTTGTTTTGAAGTTATTAATATTATTAAATATCCTTCCATGCACACATACATCCATACCTGCTTCATCCTTTTTTTGGGTCACGGGGGTCACTGGTGCCCATATCCAGCAGTCACTGTGGGAGAGGCGGGGTACACACTGGACAGGTCACAAGTCCATCACAGGGACACATAGAGACAAACAACCATTCATTCTCACTCACACCTAGGGACAATTTAGAGTTACCAATCAGTCTAACATACATGTTTTTAGTCTGCACAAGGAAACCAGAGTACCTGGAGAAAACCCACGCATGAACGGAGAGAACATGTAAACTCCACCCAGAATGGCCCCTGCAGCTGGGATTCAGTCTGTCGGCCTTCTTGCTGAGAGTTGGCACCGTGCCACACTATTATTAAATATATTAACACCGCACAAAGTTATCATAGATCTTTTTTTTCCCTTAAATGTTTTGTCTTATTTATTTGTTTCAACCATCATTTTTGGTTTGGACTTAGAATTGTTTGTTGTTCGTTTTTTTTCACTGGAACATTTGACCTTGATTGACTGACACTTGACTCTTTGTTACCAAGTGACAGTCTTTGGTAATATCGCCTTCCTCACGCATGTTTTCAGTATCAACATTGGTTCAGTACTGGACCTTATGGGCATTAAATGTCCAAAATTGTTCTTTCAACTGAATAGCCGTGTGTGTGTGTCTGTGTGTGTGTTTGTGCGTGTGCGCTTACAAAGTCAAGCAGGAGGAATAAATCTCATCAGATCCATTTTACACAGAGTACTTGAGAGAAAAGACATTACACACTCAACATGAAGTCAATATTAACCTGATAAATAAGTTTGGGGTGTGTGGTGAATCTGGGACTTCCACAGGAGAGTGTTGGTGTATGTCTACACATTTCTGTCAGCTCACCCTGTCGTTGAATGTACTCACGGTGCGCCCTTCAGAAGGACAGTGTGATTGAAGTCATGTGTGGGTCATTGGCTCTTTTCAGGTATGACTCAGTTCACAGTGTCTGGAGCGTTTGTGTTGTCCAGTGGGTCAAAACCTTTACATGGCAGAGTCTCACCAGAGCCAAAACAGGTCTGTCCTTTCTTCCAGAGACTACCTGTTGCAAACCGTCCCAACTAACCTGTTGTTCTTTATTTTTTGTCCCTCTTGTTTTGTTGTCTCTTCATTAGAGGGTTAGTCTGGAGTTCTACATTGATGTTCATGCACACTCCACCATGCAGAACGGCTTCATGTATGGAAATGTGTTTGAAGACAAGGAGCGCGTCCAGAGACAGGCAGTCTTTCCCAGACTGCTGTGCCAAAATGCGCCAGACTTTTCCTTTGTAAGTCAAAGTTACACATGCATGCACTCACAGACAGAGAACGAGAAATATTTGTATCTCAGCAAATATTGGTGACACGTTGTTCAATGAAGCATGGAATTACCAACTGCTGCACTCTTTAAAACAGACACTGGAGAACATAGGTTGGACCGGGTAACTGTGAAGTGTAGCTGCATGCTTTGACTTTAGGTCTTACTTTAAAAAACAAATGCTTCACTGGGTTTAGATGAGTAGAAAACACACACAGACTGCATGCATGAGTTAATTAGCAATATGTTGTGCATCCAGCAAGTGCAGATGTACACATGTGTATGTGCGCTCATACTTACACACAGCACACAATGTTCGGGTACTTAAGGGGACAAACATGTGCAGAAGAAAGGAAGTTACTAATGCAAAGATGTTCACTTTGACCACAGGACAGAAGAGTGGGGTAATGAAAAGAGGGGTGTTAAAAGATCACATCAGTTAATTAAAATGTAAAATTATGCATTCATTTGTTTAACTCCGATCAAAAAATGTTTACACGGTGTTAATTTTGAGAAGCAAAAGTTTTCTGCATGTTTTCAATACATGTTAAAAAAGATTTAGGTCATTAGTTTTTAATAGTCTACAAAATCCTCCTCAAAAGCAGCATAAAGGCTCTATTTGGGGTGCTTTGTAATTTATTTTTTATACAATATGGAGTTATCTTATTTGCAGTGACTTTTAGGAGCCTTAGTTTTACGTCTCAATCTGCTTTCTATTTTCTTGGCAAGAAAAGGGGAAAACTGAATTTATTCCAGTCACTCTTTTGTTTTAGTATACTTGTTAGGTAGCTGAAATGATGTATGGTGAAACAGTTCCCAGTCTGGGATCCTCTGAGCCCTCAAAAACAGTTTTAACTCTGAATTTCCTTGTTTTCTCAGCCTTTTTCTGTCCTCATCCCACAAAATCTTCACTACAAAATAATAGAGGCTACTTTTGTTTGTCCATCAAAGTTCAGTCAGGTCATCTGGAGGGCGGGCCCCAGAAACCATCGTATCACCATCAAACTGGTTGGTCCACTATGGGAGTGTGCTGCTTGTGGGACTGAGTCCGTTTGTGGCTCCTCGGATTGATGATGTCCTTTGGATGAAGGACGAAACGTCTCAAGAAGGAAAACAAAAGAAACCATCCAGATGACCTGACCGAACTTTGTTGGATATTTTACCTGGATTATTGAGCATGAACTTTGGTACTTTTTATTTGATTATAGGGCTGATATATTAGGGTGATGCTCAGTTCTTGTTGTTTTCTAGACACTTTAGTTTTGTAGTTTGATTGAACAACTGATTACTGCTTAGATAGTTGTTGTTCATTGATCTCAACTAAATCTTCTTCTTTCAGCTTTTCCATCTTAGGGGTCACCACAACGAGTCATCCTCCTCTGTCTCACTCTGTCCTCTGCATCCTCTGTCCTCACTCCAACTACCTCCTCTAACTGCATCCATATATCTCCTTTTTGTTTTTTTCCTGGCAGCTGCATTTCTAACATCCTTCTACCAATATACCCACTGTCCCTCCTCTGGACATGTCCAAACCATCTCAGTCTGGCCTCTCTAACTTTATCTCCCAGTTGTTCAACCTGTGCTGTACCTCTGATGATCTCATTCCTAATCTTATCCATCCTTGTGTAGTGAGATAGGTCGGTTAGCTTCGTTAGCTTCGGAGCTCCACTACATGTTATAATATCTGGACTAGTTCAAGTACCTGATATTATACTTAATTTAAACGGGTTCTCTCTTTTTCGAGCTACTTGACAGATATGTGACAGAGATCAGTGACGTGAGACGTTAATTTTCTTTGACCCATCAAAATGAATGCGGTCATTTATTAACAGAATCAAAGTTTAACATCAAACATTGTACACGTGATTATTCTGATTGAAGCAATAACACAGCTTAATTACAACAGACAATTATGAAAATATCTGGATGATTTACTGGCAAGATAGAAGAGTTTTAAAGATGGGAAATGAAGGAGTTTAAATGGAGAGGGAAAGATGGATGAGGGAATATGTGTCGACGACGAACGGCACTCTCCATCCGAACCCAGCTTCACCTCGGTACACTTAGGTAGTGGAAATCGACTCTTTACCTGTAGAAGATGTCTCCACTGGTACGGAGTTCCATTTAACGCCACCTTTCCAGCTTCTCCGTAGGAACAGCTGTGAATCGTCCGAAGTAGTGACGGTACTTCGTTCAACACACGCTCACCTCCCGGGTGGGCTCACATGAGTTGTGAGTCCGTCAGAGGTTCCACTCAGATGTGGAAGATTCCATAATTCCCACGAGACTCGGAAGAACTTCGGATCATGTCAGGAACTTCCTGTTCTCTCCAGCAACTTTTCTGTTCGGTTCTGCCCTCCGAACTGAACTGCTCTCCCACCGCACTGCTTGGAACTAGGAAATGTCGACATTTAAAGAGTTCTGTTTCCGGTTCATTTGGGAAGTCCTGATTGGCTGAAAGAGCTAATCAGGGGTGTGTTTTTAGTGACGTAAGAGGTCACTAGAAGTCAGAAAAACAGAAAAATGTTTTGGAACAGACAGAAAAATGTTTTTGAAACAGACAAGAGAAATGTTTAGGCGAGATGGGAGGAAACAGGTGCCAGCTTCTCTATTTACATCTGAGAGGATTTAAAAAGATGACAGTTCGTTCCAACAAACTTGTTGGCGTTTGTCTCCGACTTTTGACCGACTTACAACCTGCTCATTTCAGACAGAAGATCAAGAAAATGAATAATTACTCTGTAACAGACATTAACTAGATTTCTACTTTGAATGAGGATTAAAAATCATTAATACTGTTTCACAGTTGATTTAAAATAAGTAGTTCACTTCAACATTTAAAAATGGTTTGAACTAAACACACTTTTGATTATCAAGACATTTGTAAAATAGTAATGATAATAAAAAAGAGAGTGTTCTTTCAATTGATCAGTGCAGGACACTTAGAAAGTCTCTGGATGAACTTAATTTTGTGTTTCTGGACTCAAATCAATGAAATAACAGTTCTTGTCCCAGGAAGGCCCTCAGGGCCAGATTTGACCTGAGGCTTAGTTCACTACACTTGTCACTCCTAAGGAGAACCTCAACATCTTCATTTCTGCCACTTCCAGTTCTTTCTCCTGTCTTTTTGTCAATGCCACTGTCTCCAGACCCTACAACATAGCTGATCTCTTCTAAATAAATGTTTGATTATAATATATCATTCAGTGTCTGTAGTTCGGTTCATCTGCGAAACGTTCCCAATCTCCAAGTTTGGTTGCAACATTGCCAGAGAAATGTCTCCTGGATATCACAGTTTCTTCTTCAGCCAATAATGTCTTCAACATTAAGAAGATTTTAGTGTTGCAGTTCAAAATACAAACTCTTCTGAGTCAGAATGTTTGTCTTATTGAAAAACCACAGAACTCAAAAAATACTTAAATAATGGAAATTAGTTCAACAGCTGAACTCCACAACAATCAGTCGCTTTGTTTTAGCCAAACTTCCAGTGCTTAAAAAACTTCAATTTATTTCTCCAGATTTGTGCATTAATGCAGTTTTGTTTTACACATGGAAGTGTGTTTCCCTTGACTTCATCACTGGGTTGTTGCCAAAAAAAAAGAAATTAATAATAATAATCCCATGTGAGATATTCTGTGGACAAAGATGCATCTCCTGATTACAATTAATTCCATTAGGCACAGGTGGACTCTAATCATGTGGAAGTGTCTCAAGGATCACTTAGAGTGGTGGGATGCTCCACAACCTAATTGCGGATGTCATACAAAGACGTTGAATGCGCATTTGAATGAAAGGATTCACTTTTTCGTTACTAATTAATTAACGAAACACTCCAGCACCTTTGTCACTTTGTCTTTGTAGTGTTTACGCTGATGAGGAAAAGATAAATGAATGTCAAGAACTTGAAATGATTTTTAAAGTCCCTTAATGTCAAGTTTGAGCAGAAAAGAAGGTCAAGGCATGGTTCTGGACTGTAACACATGCCAGGATGACTTGAACAGTGCAGGCGTTCTGCTGTAAAACCCTTAAAATTGAATGAAGCAGTTATTTATGCAAGATTTTTTTTTTTTACGTTGATGCATTCTACTTCTGTTGATCTTTGTTCACTCTTTGACACTGACATTTGAAAACAGCCACTTATTCACATAACAGAGCACAACCTTTTTAACCCATTGACACTCACAGCCAGCCTACTAGATGTTAGACATAAATATATTCACTCACACAAATGAAAACGTCACCTGCTGGCAGTGTCTGTTTGGTAGGGTGTGTGACGAAGGTCAAGTACTCCCGTTCAGGAGAAAGTATCTCTTTCGGACACTGTATGACTCGTGTGACAGCTGGCCCGGGAGTCATCTCCCTTCCTGCGTTTTTGCCCCTCTGCCCATTCAGCACTACCCAAAACCCTGAGCACCAGCAGCACAGCACAATCACGGCGAACTCCCACCAGTGGACACAGAGTCTGCATTTCAGCAAGTCAACTCTCGCTGCTGCCGAGTGAATTTACAGCAAAACGGGAAGGTTTTCCACACTCTTCCCAAGACACCATCAAATTGTGTGATATAGCTGACACGCTCAAAGCTAAAATAGATTTTTTTCTTCCCACTTTACCAATTTACAGGCAGACTGGGTAATGATATTTTATAAATCTGCTGAAATGAAGTCCCTTCTGTAAGGCCGTAAAAAATCCAGAACACAAATGCATTTTGACTAATGAGACATGTCAATCAGTTCTGACCACAACAGTTAGGTTTATTTTGCTTCACATCACGGCTATATATGCTCACCCATAAATTCATTCATGTATGTTGGTCACATCATCTTATCTTAACTATCTCTGTATAAAATCAATGATGCAATAGAAAAAAAAACCAGCTTTTTAATTAACCTTTATTTAACCAGACAAATCCCATTGCGATCACAGATCTCTTTTGCAAGGGAGGCCTGGAACTGAAGGCAGCCTAACATGCATGTTTTTGGTCTGTGGGAGGAAACTGGAGTACCTGGAGAAAACCCACGCAAGCATGAGAAGACCATGCAGACTCCACACAGAAAGATCCCAGGTCCAGCCGGGGATTGAACCCAGGACCTTCTTGCTGTGAGGCAACACCACAAACCACTGAGTCGTCGTGCTGCCAAAACATTTTCAGAAGGAATGTTCCTTTTCACCTTTCAAGATGATTACATTCTTAAAGTTTCATTAAAATATGTGCAATAGTTTGCAAGATATTTTACTAACAAACAGAGTTGTCCACAACAGTTAATGCTGAAGATTTAGGCAACAATCTTGTACAATGAGTTGCACTTGGTGTAAGCAACTCTCAAACAGAATCATACCAAGTTTTAACATGGTAACTCAGACCATGTGCTGGGGATCAGCCTCAGCTACAAATACTCCAATTTGTAATTCACTTTGTAAAAAATGGCTGAGTTGTAACCATTTCTTTGTACTTTTTAACATCAGCTGGCTATGGCAACTAACTTGAATGAGTCTGACTCTAAAAGTTCATTAGTTGTGAATGTACAGTACATCCACTTATTCCATCCTGCAAGTTTCAATACAGCGTATCCAGTGGTTTATTAATATCTTTGCTAACAGACAGACACACAAACACACACACAGATACAAGAAATATTAGGATTTGTTCATTTGCCACAACAGCTTAACTAGTTGAGTTTCACCTTTTTGTGTTTGTGTGTCCTCATTTTAGATTAGAAACAATCTCCTTTACTGACGGGCAAACTACGGATCCAATTTTCAGAACCGTACTTGCCGCCGTACACGTTGCATCGCCGTATAAGTTGCATCAGTCCAAATCTGTCTGATAAAGTGGAAAAAACAACAATATGTAGCTTCGCCATATAAGTTGCATCTATTATGCGTCACCACTGACCATCTGGAAATGTGAAATGTGTTGTGCCAAAAATCAATTGGCTGCCAAATGGCGGCTGCAGGACTGTGCACAGGAGGACTTTAACAAGAATTTAACAATATTAACGCTTAAAAACAATTATTTGTTTGCTCGAAATTATAACAAAGGTGTGTCTCAGTCTAACTTTTCCTTAATAAATGCACTTGAACGGTAAAATCAGCTGCATTTCAAAAGCCGATTTGTGGCTGCGGAGCTCACAGAGGGAAGGATTCGCCGTGCATTTCTTCGAAAGTTAACAAGATTACCACCTAAAAACAATTATTTGTTTGCTCGACATTATAGTAAAGGTGTGTCTCAGTTGAACTTTTACTTAATAAATGCACTTTAATGGTCAAATCAGCTGCATTTCACCTGGGCGGCGTGACGAAATGCAGCTGATTTGATGTTTGCTCCAGGAGTTCTGGAGAGAGACGAAGGTGGCTATCTATGGCAAGCCAAGTGTCTCATTAATAGCCACTTTTACCTATTAATGAGACACTTGGCTTTGCTTGCCATATTGCTTAAGGGCCGTCTAGCGGCTGAAAATGGTAGTGTTCAATATTTTCCATGTCAGAATGAATGAAATTTTCAGATCTTAGCCAAAAATTGGGTTATAAATATGGGAAAAAACGTAAATTAGTCGCTTCGGTGTACAAGTTGCTGGACTTGCAAATTTATGCAAAAAGGTGCGACTTATATGGTGAAAAATATGGTACTTGTGAATAAATTTGTCATCATGAACAGCCTTCACTGATGATGTCAATAAATTTTACTGTTGTGTGTTGTTCGTCAAATTAAAGGCTAATTTTTGGTGTTATCCAAAATCTCTTGTATTTTGTTGTAGTAGTACAGTGGAGTGACGACCACCTTGAGTAGTACATGGTTTACACTGAGTCCAAACTCTCTAATATACTGCCATTATTTAGAGTACATGCTAATTAAATGAAATGTGTGATAGCAGAAGACCAACATCCCTCACCTCTTTAAAGATAACCATTTAATCAACTTAGTTTATTTTATGTCATTTTTATTTAGTTTTTATTTATTTATGTTTAATTAGATTTATGTAAATTTAAAAAACTAGAGTTGAAAACTAACATTTGGAATTTGATTGGACAGAAACTTCTCTCTTTTTAAAATCTAAAATCCACTCATGAAAAACATTGTCATATTAACATAATGATTACAAGAAATTAATTATTGACACAAGAATGACATTTTGGAGGAAATATATTATTTACATGGTAACTTATGAGAGAAGTAAGATGAACCTGTACACATTTGGTCTTTACCAATCTAACAGAGTACACTAGCTAATTTGTTTTGGATTTTTAAAATTAATATTATTTCATGGTTTCTATTTTTTGTAGACCAATTAGGAAAACCCACAAAATCACATATCTATCTATCTCTACTTTATTTTGATGTTGCACACATGCTGACTTGAAGCCACATTGTTGGTCTTCCTTGAGTCCCTTGATACGCACGTACGGCTCATTACCTGCTAAATGTTCCTGTATGTTTGTGAACTAGCCACTAAATTTGTGTTTGATGATTGACAGGTGGCATTAAATGGGGTTTTAGAGTTTTTATTTTAACAATTCTGATGAAAGCAGCAAAAGTGAACCAAAGCATTACACTGTTTCACAAATGTGTTTTTGAGACGCGCGTAATGTTACATGGAGGTAAACCAAACATTACACTTGAGAGTCCTGGGGGGGGTGAAATCTGTTATTTACCCATCCATTTCCATACATTATCTTCCACTTATTTCAAAGTCGGGTTGCGGGGGCAGCAGCTTGAGCAGGGAGGCCCCAAGGCGTTTCCAGGTCAACTGAGAGACGCAATCTCTCTAGTGTGTCCTGGGTCTTCCCTGGGGTCTCCTCCCAGTCAGACATGCCTGAAGCACCTCCCTAAGGAGACACCCAGGAAACATCCATACCAGATTCCCGAGCCCCCTCAACTGGCTCCTCTTGATGTGGAGGAGCAGCGGTTCTAGTCCGAGTCTCTGCTAGATAACTGAACTTCTCATCCCATCTCTAAGGGAGAGTCCAGCTACCCTGTGGTGAAAACTCATTTCAACCGCCTGTATCTGTGATCTCGTTCCCAGAGTTTGTGGCCAAAGATGAGTGTAGGAACGAAGACTGACCGGTAAACAGAGAGCTTTGCCTTACAGCTCAGCTCCCTCTTCATCACAATGGACCGGCACAGAGTCTGCAGTACTGCAGACGCTGCACCAATCCATCTGTCAACCTCACGCTCCATTCTTCCCTCGCTCATGAACAAAACGTCGAGATACTTGAACTCCTCCACTTGAGGCAGAACCTCACTCTTGACCATGGTTTCAGATTTGGAGGTGCTGATTCTCATCCCAGCCACTTCACACTCAGCTGCGAACTGCTCCATTGCTCATTTATTGAGTTACATTTAATGTAATGCATATATATGTTTATATATGTATATGTATATATATATATAAACATATTGCGTATTTGTTCTAGTTTTGTTTCTTTTTTCCCATTGATCCTTTCTTTATACAGGTAGTCTCAGTACAGGTAGTCTCATTGAGTCACGAGAACTCATTTTCAAGAACGACCTGTTTTAGGGAGCAGATGGTGGAGGTTAGGGGCCTTGCTCGGGGGCCCAGAGTGGGGCAAATGAGGGTGGAGGCAGGTGTGGGTGATTCACCTTTACCACCCAAATTTTTTTATGTTGACGGTACCGGGAATTGAACCTGTGACTTTATGATCACAGGCCTATCTTCTCTATCCTCTGCTCCTCCACTCCTCCACTCTTGTTTTGTTTCATAGCACTGGCTTTCACAGATTAATTGGAAGAGATAGAGTTAATTACTACATAAGAACTCATATAGGTAGATAATTGACCAAAAACACATAACCTTTATGTTTTGGTCTAATTTGTGATCAGTTGCATTACTTTTGTCTGAGAAAATCTGTTGGTTCTCAGCCTGACTTGTGTTTTGTTCTTACAGGTGCATTAAATCTATAAAGTATCTAAAACATCTTTAACAGATTGGATGTTTGCTAACACAAGTACTTGATGCAAAATCTTCCAATGTCTCTGTTCACAAACTACTTTAATGTGTCTGTTTTTTTCTGTTTTTCACTAGTCCAACACGTCTTTTAACCGTGACGTGGTGAAAGCTGGGACTGGTAGGCGCTTCCTAGGTGGTCTCCTTGACGACACTTCCTACTGCTACACCCTCGAGGTGTCCTTCTACAGCTACATGACAGCTGGCAGCACCGCCTCCGTGCCGTACTCTGAGAAGTCTTGTATCCTTCGTCATGTGTGATCTGTGAGTGTGTGATTAGTGGGGGTAAAAAACCAGGTAAAACTGTGGAGTGCAGCATTAATAGTCTCCTTTTATTTCTGCTCTTCCTCATCTTACTGAAACACAAATGCACCAACACGCTCTTCCTTCACCAACAACCTTCCACTGAAATTGCTGGAGTGATTGTTTTAATGTTTAGGTAATTGCGAGACTTTATGCATGCTTGACCACGTTTGTCAGGTCACCTGTACTCGCTGGAAAAACAAGCTGTTCTTTTGTTGCTTCTTGTTGCGACAGATGTGGAAGACAGAACAAGCAGGGAAATCTGCATCCACTGATTTCATTGACAAAAGAAAAGAAAAACAAGAGCTGGATTTTGTGCATGTAGTTGTGCGTGTGTGAGCAGTTGATGCTGTCGTTGCATTCAACAATAAAACAAGATTTCTGTTCAGGGAAGACATGCACATACAGAGCTGAGGTCGAAGGTCACAGGTGCCTCAATGAAAGCAGAAAAGGGGCAAGTTTTTCTTCAGCTGACCTTCTCACTGCTGAGGACCTCCTGAGAGCCTGCTGATGGCGGTCCGATCTGACAAGTGGAGTAACAGAGAAGAAGAGGAAGATTTAGAAAGAGACAAGAACGATACATACTGAAAGTATGTGCTCTCTTGCACATGCAGCGCAGGTGACTGTTGTTTTATAATAATGTAGTCTTAGTGCCCTCTAGTGCTAATTGCTGGTAGTCTTTTTGACTGTAAACAACTACAAATAAAAACAAAATTAGGGTTAGGGTAAGGCAGGATCAATAAATAGTTCACATGTGGATCGTTGGAAGTCCTTATAGTGATGTTTTTTGTTTGTTTGTGATATGCACTAGAGGAGAGAAACAAGCTAAACTGTCCAACTAATTTCCGTGCTTTGGGATGCAAACATGTTTTCTACACACTGTTATCTCTTTAAAAACATATAAAAAAGTGGTGTTCAAGTGAATGCCAACAGCATAAATCAATTCTACACCTGGTTTTCATTTTACATCATGAAAACATGGAGTAGAACAGACGCATTACAGTAGATGCATGATAACCGTACTTGGAACAGCCAAACACCTACTTTTTGATGTAGTTTCATATGTTTCTCTTGTCACCACTGGGATGACTTGTGCTTATATATCCAAATCAAATGAAATAAAAAAGCTAGAATGTAACATTGACAAGGCCATTACAAACACACAGCTGCTGCTGCAGGAGACTAGAAGCTCTAAAGGCAATTTTTTTTTTTCAACTTTCCAGAGGTGTGTGTAGGATGTTGAGCTTCCAAGAGGGAGGGTTCAGACGAGGAGGAGGAGCTCTCCTGGGTGGTCAGGCAGCACAGAGACCTTGCACAGAACGGCGATTGGGGTCAGGCAGGTTGAAGGAACAGACTATGTCAATTTTTACGCACCAGCAGTCTGCTTGATGGAGCGCGTAAATCATCAACAGAGACCTTTAGCATCACCCTCCGCCCTCCACTTTCCTCATTTCTCATCAGATACATGCATGTGTTCGCCCTATTCCAACTAATACATGACAAATAAATAAAAAGCCTTGGCCCACCTTTCAGTCCACCTTCTAAATGTGCCGCTCCACCTTTTTCATCTTCCCTGTTGCACCGTTTTAACTGTCGTGACTTTCATCCACCAATAATGAGATCCTAACCTTTCCTGCTGCCAAAACCTTTGTCACAGTTTGAAGGTGCTACGAAAACATCTTATACATCTTATACATCATGCATGTGTGTGAGTGTGTGTTGGATTTTTTTTATATCCGCTCTGCGCCTTATCTCGTCTTCTCTGTATTTTCTTCTCATCCCATCAGCTACAATATAACAGCTCATTATATCATCTAATCATGCTGAGAATCCTTTTTCTCCCAAACAGCAGGGACGGTTTCTCTTCTCTCCTCCAATCATTTACTAACTGCATGTATGTTTTCCAGTGTTCATGCTTCTGCTTCAACATGTATGATAATATACGTATGTTTAGGTACTGTAACTGTCCCAGTAGCCTCAACTAAAGACTCAGTTGATATCCAGTGCACCGTCCAGTGCTGGATTTGTATATTTTATGTTGTTCTTTGTTTGTTGCTGTTTTTTAAAAAGCACATCAGTATTTTCTGATGGGCTCTCCTGTCCAGACTTTGAACTTCAAGCTTAAAAGTGGAAGGGATCAAGGTTAAGAGACTCTGGGATCTTGTTCAAAACGCAGCTTGATGTTCTCTGTGTGTGTAGAGTATGTGCATTTTTCACTCTCAGAGCCTACTTGTGTTTGTTCTTGTGTTGTGTTCTCAGTCGCTTTGAAGGATCTTTGAAACATTCTGAAAGTGATGCAGGACTGAATGTGTCCCTGAAAGATTAGGCTCTTAGTTTTTCCAAATTTGTTGAACGTTTTTTTTCCCCCATGTTTGGATTTTTCGAGTTGAAGGACGGTTCACTTTTCTGTCGTGTTATTCCAGTAAATTTGTTGATTTTTCCATCAAAGTTAGTCACTCGATTGAAGAGCTGATAGTCCACCAGGGGTTGAGTGACGTCACAAATTGATAATTCTTTGCAGGCGTGTGATGTCTGTCGGCCAACGCAGCAACACTTGACGTGCACATCACCATAACAGTGGGACTCCAAGAATACCAGAGCTGCCTGTGGAAAACAGTACGCATCATTAAACCTGACACCGCAACACACAGGCTGTGACAGGTATGCAAATGATATACCTGGGAGGCAAAATGCTTCACTACCACACATCGTACACATCACATCACACAGATATGCACAAATGGATAGGTGCTCGCATAAAAGCATGCACGGAGACGCTCGCATTTATGCACACAGTTGATTGCGCAAATATTGTTACCATGCTCAGATGAACGAGTGTCTTTATGAGTGCTCTCAAAAATGTACAAGCAGACATGGACAACTTCAGTCGTTTCCTTGTACTTTTCGTATCTGATAAGTGTTATGGGAAAATTTTAAGAAATTTGAACAAACATTTGAACTGTTTTGAAGGGCTGCATTTTCTAAGATTATTTAAGTGGTGCTTGCTGCTGAAAATGATTTTATGCTGAAAAAAGATGAAGTTACTGTCAAAATACAGCTAGGGAACAAAGGAACAAAGCTGACATAGCCGTACAGGGTGAAGGTAAAGTATTCGGTTTAAGTTCAAGTATTGAAAAGAACTGAAACAATTAAAGCATGGCTGAGAGGAAAGAGTATTAGAAAGACTAATGGAGGCTGAAAAACTTTGTTGGACTGTTGGTTGCAAAGACAAATTATTGAAATCAGCTGCAGTATTTTGATGGTATATTAAAATGGTGCCGTATGGTACATTCAAGTATTGCGCCGCTCGGGGTGGCTGCATGTTGGAGTAGCTGTAACATTTGTTCTGAGTTAATGCTTTTGAAAACTTTAATTTCTCTTTTTTTCTGGATGTAAATCGCTTTTTTTCGAATGCTTATTTACTCTGGTATCAGATGCTGTGCAGCTGGAAGGATTTTTACCGAAACCTTTTTACTTTGGGGCATTTGTTATGATGCATAACCATGGCAACAAGGTGTTTTTTTAACAACCAGGAGCAGCTGAATAACATCTCAAAAGCTCAAATACCTCAACTACAGCCCCAAATCCCAAATGAGTCGAAAAGGAGGTGCCATGGACGAATTCCCGTCAACCTGGTGGCTGTACTCAAGTACCTGACCGCCGAGATCCTGGAGCTGGTGGGAAACTCAGCTCGTGACAACGGGAGGACCGGAATCATCCCCCAGCATCTTCATCTGTCTGTCCGTGGCGACGAGAAGCTCAGCAGACTGCTGGGAGGAGTGACCATCACACAGGGAGGAATTCTGCCTGGCATTCGGGCAGTCCTGCTGCCTAGGAGGACCCAGAGGTCCGCCGGATCAGGGTGGAGAGATCGGTATCGGTGGCCAGATTCTTCAGATTCGCTGCAGGAGCTCCTTCCTGCCCACAGCTATCAGCATCTATAACAACTCTGAAACCAGGATGATGAGCTACTACAGCACTTAATTTCCCTTTGGGATTAATAAAGTATTTTTTAATTGAATTTAATGAATGTAAAAAAAAAAACATTCACTTGCATCAGCTAAACATAAACTGTCAGGATAAGAACCGTAGGGAACAGACCACTGTTTTCAATCATTCTTTTTATGTTTTTCTTTTTTATTTGTTGGAAAAACTATAACTATTAAATCAATAAGAAAGGATATAAAGAAGTTAAACTTCTACACTATCTTATGTGAGGAATGTCTGTATGGTTTAAGTTACATTTCCTTTTTGAACTGTTGGAAACAAAACATTTTTTTAACCAACAGGGTCAAGAAAAGAAAAGTTGGTCAAAATGCATAAACGATACAATATACAATATTAACACGATATAATGCGATATAACGCAATATAACAATACAATTTAAATTTAGTTAAAAACTAAATCCAAGTAAATACACTTTTGGAAACAGAAATCAAATTGCATCGCTGAATACACAACATTTACAACAACAATTTTGTGTTAACTTTTTTCATGAGTAAACAAATGTCTAAAGTCAACTTGCTTCAAGGAGACAGAAGCCTTTCCCATACCTATTTGATTTTATTATTCACGTTTAAGAGGTTGTCTCCTTGGCAGGGAAGGCATATTGTGTTTAAATCAGCTTGTTTTTGTCCCTTTGGACTACTAAGACGTGAGGACTTTCAGTAGATTCACTACTGGGGACAAAAAATGTCCTTTTCTGTATTGCGCTTGTTGACTATCCCATTAATTAGCATTGATAATTAGTTCTCTACGTGTCAGTGCACTGACAAGACCTGTCAGTGGCCCATATTGATGACTTGAACGTCCCCTTGCTTGTCTCCTTGTTAACTCCTGTCCAATCGCAGCCATCTTACACGTGACTTGATCATTTTACCACGAGGGGCCTTGTTTGTTTGTCATCTTGTCTCACTGTCTGGCAGGACAAGGCACGGGAAATGTGTCAGTTAAATCCTCTAAATGTGGTGCTGACAGCAAACAGCTGCAGTAAACAAGTCGTGTCCCAACACCCATCTCTTTTGTCTCACATGCCCCATAATCCCATCAGCCTAGCATACCCCTGAGCCATGACAATGACCTGCTATTGATTAGACAAGACCATTATAAATACAAAGAATGCACTTGAGTGAAAGCCAGGCAAGATGCTGACACACTGCATTCACACCTCTGTGACCTTTCCAATAATGGAGAATGATAATACAGTGATAATGATGGCACTCTGGGATCCGTTGAAGTTTATTACAAACATAAACAATATTATCAGTGTTAGTAATTGTGTATATTCAACAGAGATTGCTGAGATAAGGACTAAAGCAGCTGAAAAAGGCTTTTGTGAATATTTCAAAGCCACCCAATATTCTAATCCATGCTACAGCTTGCCGACTGTTTCTTGGCTCGCACGCCACAACTTCTTGCTGCAGCCACCACCTGATTCCCAGAACCTGCGGTTTCCCTCGGCAACGAGCCAGGTTGCATTCAGGGCATTCTCCGTATCTCTGACCATATACTCAGTGAAAGAGATTCTCCTTCAGAAGCTGACCGTCCATCACAAAACCTCCTGTAATGAACAGTGAGTCGTGACAAGCCAAGCTGAGAGGCCATCTGCGCACGGTGGGGTCCAGGAGATATTTTTGTCGCTGAGTACGCCTGGCCAAAGAACCCAGAACTGGCACCAAGCTCTGCTGACGAAAGAAAACTGAGGAAAACACCAAAAAACTTTCCAGAGGTCATAGAGAAGACATCAAAGACGTTAGGAAGCTAAAAATGTTGTGAAGACTTTTATCATCATGAGTAAACTGTATGTGTATGAGTATATGAGTATATTATTGCAAATGAGATGGGTACTCCAATAAATTTCTGGCGCAACTAATTTCTTATCCTAAAATTCAGTTTCTGGATGCAATTGTTCTAAATATTTATATAAATCATTGTAAATACTATATAATATATAAAATTAGATGTATGAATAATGTCAGTTCAGCGCTAGACAAGCCTTTAGGTGGCTCTGTATTGAAAACAACAGAGTTCTTTAGTGTAAAATTATGTGAAAACACAACTCTAGAAAATAGAAAACTAATTAACTTATTCAATCAGAGCAGATTCTTTGGACTAATTAAATCAAATCTGACTTTTTTTTTTTAAACATCAACACTACATCTTTTAAGTTAAAGAGAAACAGTGTTATCAAGCTTTCAATCAGCAAAATATCCCAAAGGCAGCATCTGTGTTGGTATAGGTTTGAATTAGTGCACATGAATAATTTGTGAGGGCGCCAACATTGTCTTTTTCAAACTAGGCCCTGCTGTTTTAATCAAAGAAAGTCAAACCACTGTCTGTCAACACAAAGCTGCATTTCTCATTTTAAACATTTGGGCCAGTTTGAACGGAATGGACCGCGTTAGAATAGAAAATGTGAAGTTGTGGTAAACATGCCTCTGCTCTATTTATCATCAGATATGTTGACCTTCCTTTTATAATATGCTGTAATTTAGAAGCATTTTATAAACCTAACTTCACAACACTGCGTTTGATGGAAAGGTTGTAAACAGTAATAACTCATAAACGTGTTCTCGTTCTGTCAAGATTTAAACAAATGTAAAAAATAACTTAAACTGAATTGCAAAACAAAAAAAAAACAAAAGCAATAAATTACATCCCATTAATCATAAAACAGAAATAGTGAAATTAATACTTAGAATGCACAAAGCAGTAGTAGTAAAATCTCAAAACTCAATGAAACATTAATAAAGTCAAGTCAACTTCTATTTATGTCCAGTACCAATTCAAGGCAGGTCCTTGAAAGTCTCTAAACTTCCAGCATGGTGAACGCTAACTGAATTATTATTTTATTGAACTGTAAGATCATATAACAGGTCTGACATTAAATGTTAACTCAAATTAAAGATGCTGCCTGGCTGCAGGGCTGAAACATTATCAGATTCAAATATTTGTGATTATGTTTTTTTTTCCTCAACCTAAGTGTCAAGAGACAGAAGTTTGAAGACAGAAGAACAGTAATAGTCTCCAACACCCAGACACACACATCTTCCCCACAGGTGTGGCCTGATGCAGGGCTCGCAGACAGCCAGATGGAGTATAAAGTAAGCCTGGAGTCATGTGGAGAGGGTTGCCATCATCCCGCCGTGTAAGAAATGATGTCTGGTGCTGAACATACAGACATGACCTACATCAAAGGCTAAAAGTTGACTGACTCACATTGGTGGTGCTTCCTTTCTCCTTAACGTGTGGACATATAATGTTAGCTTTGTGTGTTGTTTACTTGATGTACGACAAAATATAAAGCAAGAAGCTCCCTGTTTAAAGAATGAACAGGTGGTTTACTAGTTGACTCTACCAAATAGAGTTTGTGTCATTGGTTCTTTTTGTTTCTAGGAAAAATAATTAT